ATATATGCAAAGGATTGCGACCTGATTTTGCACCTGGGACTCCAGATTGCTATATTGAATTAGCTAAGCAATGCATGGATTCAGATCCACAAAAACGGCCTACTGCTAGTGACATTAATGATAAACTTTATACATGGCATAAAATCGTAACTGATAAAGACAAAGATTCAGATGATGCAAATGAAATTAAAAAGCAATTCTTAGATGCTGATGAAATAATCAAAGAATTGCCAGTTATCTTACCAAAACATCCAGATTCTATGTACACTAGCAAACTAATAAATACTAAAAGAATATCAAGCGTAATAAAAGGTATTTATTTTAAAATTATGCTATATTATTTATTTATTTATTCGTTTAAAACTAACTATGCTATATTAGCAAATTTACCAAGTAAACCTATCGGTTCTGTTGAAGTTCTTCTTGGTAAGTAATATATTAAACTTATAGTATTCATAATTAAATAAATTTATCAATTATTTTATATTGGTGTTTAGATTATTGAGTTAATTGCTTTAAAGGTATAATTTATTGCTTATTTTTACGCAAAAAATATGCAATTGGACAAATGCCTTAAATTAGCTTGGCTTGTTAACGTCAATATTTTTATTATATATTTTGTACTATAATGTTTTTCTTTATACTGTAGTTTATGAAATTTATGAAAAATTTTTTAAAGATTTATTTATGATATAGTATAGAAATATAAAATATATTAAATGAAATGCATGTATGCAATATAGCAAATCTTGCTATAAACTATCAAAAATTATGAGAGTCTAACATGAAATTTGTTCAAAAAAGAGATATATAGTATATATTTATTTCACGTAGGTCCCTCATCATTAAATGTTAAAAAATATAATATTCTTTTTTTTCTTTTTTTTTTTTTTTTACAAAAATAGTTTTACAAAAAAAAAATAATTTAAATCTAAAAACCTTTAATTTTTTTTTTTTTTAAAAAAAAAACCAGAAATGAATAAAATATATAATTTAATAAATATTTAATATGTAAAATAAATAAAAGGAAATACTTACAAAAATAATTTATTCCTCTTGTCCATCAGTATAGATGTTAATATTCATCTTGTTTAAGATTTCAATGGCTTTGGGTTGATTATTGAGTGCAGCCAATTTTAAGTATTTTATACCTAATTTTGGATCCTTTTTTACTTTAAGTTTACCATTTAAATACATATCACCCAAATTAAATTGTGCAGTAGGATTATTATTAGCGGCAGCTTTGTTCAAATATTCAAGAAATACAGTACGATCGAACTTTATTGGAGGGTTGTTCACCAGGGAAAATGCATATCGTAATTGTGCATCAGAAATACCATCATCAGCTGCTTCTTTAAAAAGTTCACTTGCTTTTTTGCGATCTTTCTTTCCATCCAAACATCCTTCCCACAAATAATAACCCATCCAATATTTTGCAGTGGTATTACCAAGCCCTGCATGTGCTTCAAAACATTCCCAGGCGGTTTTATGATCCTTTTTTTTATGAGCAGAAATGCCTTCTTCCAGAGGTATTACCGTCTCTATTTCGTCAAGATTAAATTCATCACCTAAATCTGGTAGCTCCATACCACCTTCATCACTAACGGAAACAGGAGCTTTGATCATGGTTCCGTCTAAATCTAAGGTCTTTGGAGGAAGAAGTGCCGGAGAAGACAATGGTTTCTGATAAATGTTGGCTAATTTAGAAAGTTGCAAGAAAATTTGTTGGAGTGATGCTCGAAGACCTGGATCATCCTGCCAGGCTTAGTTTGAAAATTAATTTTATAATTAATATAATAATAATAATAAAAATAAAAATAATAATAATAATAATAATAATAATGATAATGATAATAAAAATAAAAATAAAATAATAATAATAATAATAATAATATTATTATTATTAATAACGATAATATTAATAATATGTACCTGAGATAATAATTAATTTTAACTCTTGCTGAAGGTTTTTAATATCTGGTGGTGCATCCCCAAAGCTGAGTTTCTCCCTCTTACCCGATACCACATGCTCTTTTATTTTACTCATATCCCAATGTTCATAAGGGATTTTCTCAAAGGCAAGTTCCCAAAGCAGCATTCCAAAACTGTGCATTTGATATAAATGTAATGAAAATGAATATCATTTCTAATCATAAAATAAAAATCGAAAAAAAAACTTACCTGAAAATTTCACATTTAAAAGTATATGGAGCTGGTTTTAGATCTTTAGATTGTCGTAATTTTTCAGGTGCCATCCAGTGTACAACTTCAGTTATTGCTGACATATTTGTAGTAGTGCTAGTAGCATGACGAGAATATTCGAAATTAGTTATTTTAGGTTCGAGGTTTCGCGTCATCTATTTAAAAAATTTTATTAAGTAAAGATTAAAATTTTATAAATTAAGCTATTTAAAGATAAATAATATTACCAATATATTTTCACATCTAACGTCATGGTGAAGGATGGAACAGGAATGCAAGAATGTAATTCCACGACATATATCAGTGGCTATGTGTACTTTTGCAGTCCAGGCAATGTCAAATTTGTCATATACTTCTCTTAAAGTACCCATTTCAGCCCATTCATTAACCATAACTTTAGTAGTGCCTTCAAGAGTTGAAAGACCATAAAATTTAAGAATATTTGGTGAATCTCGTAACTTTCCCAAGATAGCAAGTTGAGCTTGAACTCTTTGAGTTTTAACGAAGTCATCAGTTGGAATAATTATTGGTTTGCAAGCAACTTCATTATATTTAAAAACTTTTTTATAAATATAATTTGGTTGACTGCCTCTACGATCTGAATCTTTTCTAATATCAGGATCTAATAATTCAGCTGGATTTATTTCAACAGCTTTAATAGAGTCGCTATTTGGTAAATTAACCTTTGACAAATCAGAAAAATGTTCTATTTGGCCTTTCATGATCAACACTTCTTGTAAAACAGTGTTGAGTGTATTAGTATTGTCGACTATACCACCCTTGATTTGTTCCAAAAACTAGGAAAAAAAAAAAGATTAGTATTAACAATCACATGATAATTACAAAAAATTAAACCGTTAAGTAAGAAATAATACCTTTGTCATATCAGCAATATCTTGTTCAAGAGCTTCATGATCAATTCTTCTTTGCTCTTCATCAGCAACAGCCATTGTAAAATGCAATTCTCCCATCACTATCTCAAATTCTTTGACAAGACTATCAAATTTTTCTTTAATTGAATTCGCGTGAAAGAATTTCTTGTAACCTTGTAATTCAGATACATCCTTAATAAAACCTTTAATTCTTTTTAAAACATCAACGAATCGTACAAAGTTTTTATAATATTCAACATTTTTAAAATGCTTTTCATTTTCAGCTTTTCTTCGCTGTAAAGATTTAACGGCTTGTTCAGCCGCACCAACTCTGTCCATTAACGAATTACAAATTCTTTTATTATATTGAGCATTTTCATAGATCACGATAATTTCAGAAATTAAAAGCGTTACTGCACTAATCAAAGGTACAAAAGGTTTTACAGCCTCCCCAACGGCACCAACTGCGGATAACGCATTTTTTGCCACATCCGTGCTACTAGCAAGATTAGTTAAACCTTCTGTAACTTCTATTGCATTGCTAATCACGGTCGGAGTACTTTCAACAACTTTTTCCATTAATTAAATTCTTTTTATGAATCAAATTTATAAACGTTTAATTAGATGGGAAGAGTGAATTAAAATTTCGATAAATTTAAGATGTAAGTTATACGAATATATATGCTATATACGATTGTCAGTAGGACAGTATCTGTATTATGTTGTACGAAGTTTATTATGTTATAAAAATTCTTTAATCGAGTAATGTTATAAAATCTTTATGAAAACAGGCGAGGTTTATTACAAAGTCTTTATTGCTCACCAAACAGTGTCATCATAAAACATCATTAAAGTGTTTTAATTAACCTTTGTTCTCTTCCTCCCTAATGTATCATCTTGTATACGTAGAAAGGTAATTGCTCGAGACTTTGCTATTAAAAATATATTAATAATGATGAATTACAAAAACTATTTATTTTTTATTTTAATTATTCTTACGTTTTATATGAAATTCTATATGACATTCTGTACGGCATTCTTCGAGCGAAAAATCTTGGCGTGTATCATAGGCATGGAATTAATTAATGTGATGTTTCACAAATACAAATTAAAATTTTTGTTTACTTGTTTTGTAGTGAATCTTGAATTAAGTTAGCACAGAGTCCTCATGTAACCGGACCTCCACTCCGAGCTGCAATTTAACCAGAATTCAATAAAATTTATGGATAAATTTTATGCATTACGTTTTTAAAGATAGCAAATTAGTTGTCATGAATTTAGCAAAATTTTTTACATACGATGTTACGTAGTACAATAGTAAGGAGTATTGAGCTATAACAATATGATGCATACATATTTCTGTGCGACACGTATGTAGCAAACGGGGCTTACACATCGATCTACATGTCCGGATCAAACATTGCCGGTAATTTCCATATGAGGTAATTTTGTTATTAAATCCATAATGTTGGTCATACTAATGGTATGTTTGGATGTTCAATAAATATTTGGTCAATTGTTCCAAACAATTCGGTATTTTGGTTGTATTGTATATTATCTTTAATTTGCCGAATCTTTAATTGGTATTGTTCTTTCTTTGTCTTAGGTTTCAAAAGTGAGTAAACAAAGTCTTGGTCCTTTAATAGTTTAATTAGTCCGGAATCCGATATTTTCTTGAGTGTCGGATTTTCTTTTAATATCTTGGATGCATGCATTCTGTCTTGTGGTCGGAATGCTGCTAGATATTTGTAATTATAATGGCCGTTCAGTAGTCTATTGACTCTATTAATTTTATTTTGTATCTGGCCTTTTTCATATTCAAGTTGTTTCTTGTATTTTTCTATTTGTAGAATCTCAATTCTTGGTGTGGTTTCTACTTGTTTATGATGAGTAGTAAATTCATGGTCTGTCATTATTGGTAGTTTTTCCTGAATTTCGTCCTCATCTGCTAAGCTTTCTATTTCTTCGTAAGGGTACTTAGCTTTGTAGTCTATAAAGTTGTTGTTGAGTTGTTCTTCATGTTGTACTTCTTGCATTTTAATAAAATACTGGTGTATTCCGTCGAATATTAATTCTAACGGTTGTTTTATCATTGGTATAAGGGTTAATTCTTTTACTTCATTATAAGTATACCATTCCCATGGTGTTGCTTCTTCTGGTTTGCATTGTTTCAATTTTTGAAATATATTACATGGATAAATAAATACAGTTCTTTGTATTTTGTATTTAGCTTCTGTAGGTGAGCAGTATTTTTCTGCTACCTATTCTTGTGAACTTGGTTTGAATTCGGTCCATACTTTGATAAGTAATTCTTTTTCCATTAGAATATTAGCTTCTTCTAAGCCTTCTCTTATTGCTGTGTACTCATCGCTTTCACATGGCTTTCCATTTTCATCTAATTCTCCTTTTCCTCCATATCCTTGGTAGTGGTTCCAAAATACTTTCTTTGGGTTAATCCTTTTAGATAATCCAATTTGGTATCCTTTTTCTGGGTGATATCTAAATGGTGCGGTTTGTATAATTCTTCGTTCTGGTAATTCTAAGTGTGTAATTAAAAAATGTGCTATAAATTCTAATTTTCTACACATATTACAGTTATCGTAATAAATTTCTTGGTTATCTTCAATTTCTTTGTATTGTTCCATTTCTTGGAATTCGTTACAACTAATACATTTCTATGTCATTCCATATTGTGGGTCGTTATACAGTGGTAACTGCTCCATTTTCTTCATTTAATTGTTGCACTGTGAATTTCACAAATTCTAAGTTATAAATTTCTTCTTCCAATAGTTCTTTTTCTTTTAATAATTTCAATTTCTTTTGCAATTGAAATTTCTCGTTAGTTTGTCTTTGTGCATTTAAAGTTTCTCTACGATTACAGTTTTTACAACATCATAGTTCTATGTCTTTGTTGTATTTCTTTGAATATTTTGAGTATTCTTCTAATTCTTTATAATGTCCACACTTTGGACAACGTTTTTCGATAGTTCCTGATTTAGTGACTCTTTTTACGGGTTCGTATCTTCTAAAATTATTTCTACAGTTAAAACAGGTTTTCAATCTTTTTGATCCTTTAATGAATACAGATTGTTCTTGTAATTTTGTGCAGGTTGAGCAATGTATTAAATATTTAAACAAGAATTTCCCTTCTTCGTCAGTTATTATTTCCACTGATTGTTTTTGGTAGAACCATTGTATTCCTTCTCTGCACTTGTCACAGGTTTTATTTAAAACTTTGGTTTTACTGTTTATGGAATAAGTTCCGTTAGGTGTTCTGCACTTGCAGCACCTTTTGGCTGTTTTATCAAAATTGTACTTTTTCTTTGGTTTCTCTTTAGTTATCAATTTTGATCTGTTTACTTTGTTTAATACTTTGGGTGATATGTTTAATATTGAAGTTTGTGATCCCTTCAATTGCTTCTAAATCCCCTTTTATTCTTTCTTCAAGTTGTTTCCAATTGTCCAATACTTTAAAGTTGATTTCTTTAGATATCGATTCTTGGTAATATTGCCGTTATACGTGTTGTAACTTCTTCTTTAATTTCTTTTCAAGTTTGGTATTTTTCATTTATAATAGACAAAATCGTTTCCTTGCACGTATGAAAATTCGTGCCAAATATGAGCTTCAGATTGGTCTAATGTATAATTAAAATTATCTAATAGGGTGATAATGTAAAAATCTTTATTTGCTAATGATGCTTGTAATTTAGTTGTGATTTTCTCAAGCTTTTTATTTTCTATGAACGTTCCTTGGTGTACGAGTACTTGATTTGGTTCAACAGTTGTTAGGTTTACTACAAAATGTTCTATTTCAGAAATTTCTTTCCTAAGTTGTGAATAAGGATGTGCATCCTTATCAAATGATATGAATATCTAATTTCGTTGTATGTCAGATATCCTTTTGAAATGTCCTTTTGTTGTTGATATTATTCATAATATGAATTTACTAAATACTAGTTCTTCTGATAATTGTATCAGTCGTATTTTTGCAGTTATCTGTGACTTAATTATTGAAATTGAGTCTGTTTCAGATAAAACTGGTATATTATTATTGAATAATTTCTCAATTCTCCAATCTAAGTGTGATAGTATTTGGTGTCTCTTAAAACTAACACTATAGTAATTAATCTTTACTGGTTCGTTAGAATATGCTATCACTGATTCTTCCTCAGTTTTTCTGGATATTGATGATGTAGTGGGTGTATCTATTACTATATTTTCAGTGGGTATTTTTTCTGGTTCAATGAGGGTTTTGTATATCGAGTCTAGTTTTGTTTTATAAACTTCTACTTCTTCGTTAGAATATTGTAAACTATTCATTGACAATTTCTTGCGCTAATGTTAAGCAATATGCTTGTAGGGTTTTTAAATATATTCCAATATTTATAGCGTTAATTGCTAGTTTTTGGTATGTAATTCTAATGGTTTTATCCTTTTCTTTCAATTTAAAGTAATTTTGAATTTCTTTTAGGGTTGTGAGGTAGTTTTCCAATGTTTGAATGTGTTTTAATAAATTGATGTATGTTTGAACTTTTATTTCAGTTATCATCAATTCTGGGTTCCTGTTGATTGTGATATTTCTGCAGTTCCTTATGGTAAGTTCCTTTTAATAATTGTTCTACTGTTGGTATTAAACACTGTCCTCCGTGGTATTGTCCTAGGTCACTTTCTGGTATAAGTATTTTTATTATATTATGGACTCTATTATAATATTATTTATGATAATGTTTTTTTCTAAATTCTATTTCTAGTATTTTGGTTTTCGCAATTTTTTCGGGGTCTTTATCCAACGAATAGATTTTGATATTATCCAAATATAATGTTTGGGCGTTTTTAAGCCAAATAGAATATTCTTTTGATTCGTATGCGTTATTTATTTCTAACAGTTTTCTTTCCTTCTTCCAGAAATCGTCAGTTATTTTCTTCAGTATTATTTCTTTTAAGAAATATAATAAGTGTTGGGTCCTTGCTTCTATTTCGTAAAAGGTTAAAGTTTTCTTATAAAGCAATTCTGATCTTTCTTTCGATAGTAAATATTCCAGGTAAGTAATATAATCTTTTGTTAAATTTTCACAAAATTCGTAAACTTTTTCTTCGTAAGTATTTTCCATTTAACTAATAGATTTACTTCGTTTTCTACTTTTGCTTAGAAAAATAGAATATTCAGTTATTTGGTTCAGAACTTTTAATTCTTCTTCTTCATCAACGATTACTTTGGCTTCTTTGTTAAATATCTTCTGCAATAAAGATATTAAAGTACAATAATCTTTTTAAGTCTTCAGATATTTCTAAAGCATCACAAAATCTTTCTCTCGTAAGTTTCAGTTGTAAAGCTGTTGCAGTCAACCTTTCAATTCGTTTCTTTTCTCGGTCTAAATTATTATTCATTGCAGGTGTATCAAATGGCTTATATTGTCCTTGACTATTGGTTGAAAGATCATTGAAGATTATATTATTAACAGCAATCGCGTGTTGTATCGCTTTCAGGGTTGTTCTGAGTCTCCAATTATTGGTTGGATTTATTCTTGCAATTAGATTTGCTAAGGTTATTTCAATATCTACTTGTATTTCTTCAATTC